CAAGAGATTTGGTGTCTCTTAACTACTACCAGACGTGTGTCTATCAAGCCTCATGCTCGTTAGTCAAATGAGACCAATGAATTAGAGAATGTTCCAAATTTTCTTTCGTTAAATACGCTCAAAATGAGTGCAGCAGAGCCCCAACTGGAAAACATGACTGAAAAGAGCACAGTGGTAAGAACCTCACTGCAAATAGGCAATTTGTGCTTTGTTTGTTTGTTTTTTGTTTTGTTTATGTAAATAGGCTGTCTAGTGGGGGGCCTGATACTGCTCATGTAATAGATGAGAATGATGTGATAAAAGGAAAAATAATAAGCATGTCTTTCCTCAATCCCATGAATATGAATTATGCATTTTCTAGTCCTCTCTTATTAGATGATAAAATGTGTTCATTTTGCTGGTGAGGTATGAAAAATTACTGTTTCAGTCTGATTTGCCTTAAAATACTGGAAACCTTGTTACACTTGCTAGAACAGTGTCTGTCATAATTCAAAGTTGAAACAACACTTAAAGTTTTATTATTCACCTATGCATATTTGTATCAGGATAAAGGTTGGCATGTTAAATGATAGTCCCAAATAATGTATTTTCTCAAAATATGACTAGGAATTTATAGTAATGAAGAACTGTTTTAGCGCTTCATAAACTTGCCTGAGCTGGTTTTGTTAAGTGACTGAAATGTAAATGAAGAAATGTTACAGATACTGGAGGCTCTGCTTACCTGCAGAAGAAACTGCCAGCTTTTCAAGCAACAGCATCAGAAATGTGCCCAGCTATTGTGTGCACATATAAAGAGTCCTAAGCAGAAGACAGATTTTTTAGTAATGTGGTCAGTGAATTTTGCAGTTGGAATACAGGCCTGTTGTCAATCCCTTCCAACTGAACAATTTTATTCTGTTCTTGACTAGATTTATTGGAGATCTTGGGCAAATACTGATCCCCTATTTCACCCCTCTGTCCCCCTTCCCAGAATTGCCACAAAGTAAGGGATCAGCTGCTTGTTGATCTGTAGCTTCCTCGGGATCCTGGGGCTTGTTCTTCAGTGCTTTGGGAAAAACTTTGGGTTGAACGATATACAGTCCTCATTTGCAAAGTGCTGTTTTCTCATAATTTATCCCAAGATGTCCTATGCAGCCTCATGCCAGGGATTCCTGAGAGAGCAGATTAATTGGAATCAGGGTGAAACTGAAAGGGAGGTCTCAGATGTAAGAGCTGGATGAAGTAGCATGGCAGATCATGAAAAGGACTTGTCACATCCTGTCCTCAAAAGATTTTTGTGGTTTTTGGTGTGAAGGTATTTTTTGTGTTGAGGTTTGTTTTGTTAGGGTTTTTTGTTGTTTTGGGGTTTTTTTTTCAATTGAGAAGGAAATCCAGTTCAATATGCAGTGGCAAATGCCACTTATTTGACAACAGACATTTCTCAAGTTAGTACAGGACTTAACAGCAGAACATGCATGATGGTATCATCCCATGGGGATACAAGCAACACTATTCACAAATAGTTCTACAAGTAAACTGTATCAGTTTCTCCTTCACTAGTGAACAAATGAAAGAGTTTACATGTAAGAAGCAATTAAGATAGCAAGAATATGATGAAAATGCAGGTAGCCATTTTGCCAAAGGAACAGAGAGCAGAACCTATATAGTTTTCCTCAACAGCTTTCCTTGAATGCATATGTTCATCTACTAATGGAATACACAGTCTGTGAACAGTAGAGGAGGGCATTTCTCATTGACAGTACCAGAAAACCAATACTGTTTCAATACCATACTGTGAAGACAGATTTATCAACAACTTTTGATTTAGAAAAAATCCTGATATTTACCAGATCCCTGCAGTTCACGAGTCCACAAAATCCTTCCCATTGCTGTTTGTACAATTTATCAGATTTATATCATGAAATGAATAATTACTGTAGGCCTCTTATTAAATTAAGAGGAGAGAGATATAAAAGATCCCAGAGAAGACACACAAAAAAGAAAACCTACAATTTGACTGCAGTGTTTGAATGCTATATCATCACTGGTCTCATAAATCAAATGCAAAAGGTTTATAGGCAGCCATCACAAAAACTTATTTGTGAAGGCTATATAGCATTTTAGATACTTTCTTCACAAAAACTCCATCATTCATTTCTGCCAGAATGACTGCTCACTAATTTTTTCATACTGCAATATTCACTGTTTCATTTTCTGCCATGAAAGCACACTTGAATCTCCAAGCCAAGGAAAATGAGAGGACAATGCTCCCTGCAAACTTTTAATCTGACTGAAACCTTTATCCTATCACATTAACACTAAATACGGTGCTCATTTTTATGGGCTTTTACTTACCTGTTATGAGCAGGTGTGATAGGACTGAGAACATGACTGCAACAGACTAAGTTCTGCCTTGCCACCAGTCCCATTCATGGGTGGGCTCCTATTATGCACCTCCTGGGAAGAGCAAAGTCACACACCCACACATCCAAATTTGCCTTCTTTTCAGCTAATTGGATATCTATTGTCACTATGAGATAGTAACTCAAGATATGCTTGGGGGAGAAATAAATAGGCCAGAGGACAAATATAGACAGGTGAGAGCCAAAAATAGCTGATACAAAAGAAAAAAGGTCTGATACTTGAAAAAAGCAGCAGTATCTGCTCTCCCTGTCACTTAAATAAGATAGTTTTACAGATGGACTGTAAAAGTTAAAAACTACAACCAGCAGAACCAGTAAGAAATTATAATAATGACTTAGGTCAAAGTCCAAATCTGTGCTTTTCCCATTTCCTTTTTTTCTTCCTATGTTTCCAGAAAGGCACTACATTTCAGAAAGATGCTAAAAAGCTCAGTTAACAATGAAAATAAATTACAATCCTAGATATCAAATATTCCTCAAATATTTCACATAACATAAATTACTGTTAGTATTCTACAGTGGTTGAAACTACTATGAACAAGTAGGGAAAGAAATTAGAAGATCAGAGACACTAGTAATAAAAATTCTGAAAACGTCAAACAATCTCTGGAACATACCCAAACCTGGTTTGGGCTTTTTGTTTTGGTTCTCCTCTCCTTCCCCAAATTTCAGAGGTACACTTTCATTAAAATACATTTTTAGAAAGTGGCTGAAAGCCAAGTTTGGGCCTACATTCAAATTTATTCCAGACACAAACACAGATATTACAATGGGGTGGGAATCCAATTTTATAAATTACTGCATTTCCACACAATTTCCCTTCATCCAATGCTTGCACATGAACAAGGTAGATACTTTATCCACTATCATGGGTACCACACTAGACAAGAGTAAAAGAATCTACCACAATTGTTAACAGGATTTGAGAGCTGTGAGGGAGAGTGCACTCCAGACTATTTTTGAAAGATGACAGAACACATACCCTGAAAATTACTGAAACCAACAAAACGACCCACCAGCAATGAAACAAAATACAGAAGAATGTGGGTATTGGATAAGCACTCTCAAGTAAGTTAGGAAAACCCTTCTCCACAGCCTAAAGGCAATCCATAGATGCAGCATAAATCAGGAGTATTTCTAACCTACAGCTGTGAGTTACGATGAACACTCCTGCAGCTGGGGAATTTAACAGCTGTTCTTCATTTTGGGCCAGAAGCCAAACCCACTTAGGATCTTCCATGGAAGAAGCACACATGGGAGGGGAAGGAAGGATGTCACTCTTTTGCGTGCAAGAAGGGTTTGGGAGACAGCTGGTATCACTCAAAGAAACCTAGCAGGATGCTAACCATAATCACAATGTAGTTCTGACAAAAAACTAAAGGAGAAAAAAAAGTCTTGGGCCAACTTCTGGTTATACAGAAGATGAAAACTGAGTGAAGAACCTCCTTTCCATATTGTTCAAGAAAGGTGGACCTTGAAGTCTCCTTTTAAAATTATTCTTGGAATAGATCAAATACCCAGCACTGCTCATGTATTTCTAACTCCTAATTAAAATATTACAGACCACACTAATTCTGGTTAAAAATTTACTTAAAACCCCCAAAGTCCAACTCCCAACAATGCAGATTAAATTAAACCCTATCAAACATAAGCATATTAAAGGACAGCCACTCACACACAAGAATTCCTTTCCAAAAGAAAGGGACTCATGAATTGAGATTTTAGTTACTAGTTGGGCTGCAGTTCTTGTTAACATTTCTTTCTCATTTCTATTTTAAATTCACATTCTTTTTACTTAAATGTCCTTTAGAATGAGACATGAAAACTTACATTTCAGTATTTGCTATAGGGCAGGAACAAACTCAAACCTGTTGGGAGCTGATTTCAGGAAAATGGGAGCAGAATTCATTAACTGGTGCAAAATAACAGAATGGCAATTTTCCTTCCCAAGTGTACTGTAAGAAAGACAGAATAAGTCTTTGTGAGCACAGTCAACTGATCAGAAAGGCTGGATATCAACACTTAGCAATTTACCTGACAAGAGTTACGGTGCAATTAGGAGAACTACCCTGGGTTGTGTTTCCAGGCTACTCAAGCAGTCTCTTAGCTAATGCAGTAGCCCTTCTCTCCCAGCTGATTTAAAATGCTGTGACTCAACCCACAACACAGACAGCTGTATCAGATCTTAAAGAAATCAGCAGTCACCTGTCACAACAGCTTTCATGCAGCACACATTGATTACCAGGCACTCATTCATTAACCCCACTTTGTTTGGAATTCTCACTAATTGCATGCTTGCTCCTTTTCCATTCATGATAGACAGCAATTCTGCTGTCAAGCTTAAGAATAAAATGTCTGAACAGCACCTTTAATTCACTTTATAATTCACATATTCTTCTTCTATGAACACACTGAACCCTTTCACTCACTCCTACTGGATCTAATCTTACTGGATCTCTCATCTCCCATTGGGAAGTGGCTTCTGTCCCAGCCACCAGCCTATGTCCCAACGTGTCCTGTGACCCACAGGGCTCCTGAACCAGTCTGTGGTGGCCTCTGCTGGCACCTGACCCCAGGTACATGTTGCATTGGCAGGGCATGCTGGAGCTGGCTGACTTGCCCCTGCAGAAGGGCTCCGTGGAGCTCCTCAAGCAGAGATGGGAGTCTGCCAATGCGACAAGACCAGGCCTGATGTTCCAGCACCCACCACTCCCACCACCCCTGGTGCCAGACAGGATGGTCCTGGAGAAGATGCCATCAGACAGCAGGAGGACAGATGTGTTCAAGGAGGAGCCTGTAGGTGGATCTCAGCTGGAGCATGTCCCTGTCACAGTGGAGGAGCTGCGGAGCCACTTTGAGGCACTGGGCGGCAGGAAGGTGAGTGCCTGGGCAGGGCGGCACCTCCAGGGAAGGAAGGGGGCCCAGAGCGGCTTCCCCAGCCTCACACTGCCCCTCTGCTGTGCCCTGCTGGCAATTGGAAGCACTGGCCACAGCTCCCATGGGTGTCCTGTGAACCGTTGGCATCAGCTTGTAAACAGTGGTTGTCATTAGCTATTATTATCTGTAGCTTTCCTTACTGGGTAATTTTATTGGTCTGTTTCACAGTAATGGTTTCTGACTGGTGCTAATTGCCAAACTATCAGGTAAATTAGTGTGCAGTTGTGGTTGGCTTGTGCCTTTTAGAAGAGGAAATAACCAAGATATTTCACAGAATCACAGAATAATCTGAGTTGGAAGGGACCCACACGGATCAGCAACTCTTAAGTTAATGGCCTGAGCAGGGATCGGCCAACACAACCTCAGCATTATTAGCACCATACTCTGACCAACTGAGTGAATCTAAGGGTCTCATATCAAAGCTGAGAGAAGAATTCCCAAATGAAACTATTTACAAATATTCTAAAACTTTCTGAAGCATTTACTTCTTATTTGTAGAACTGTGCTGATTCCCTTTCAATGAGAAACTTGCTGCCATTTTACACATTGGCTTTCATTGGCATAAACATGACAGGCCTGGCCAAGTTGCAACCTTTTTCTGGCATCAGATTTTTGTCCGAGAAACATCTCTGATTTCTTTGAACTATATGAGGAGAAGCTAGAATTTTTTTTGAACTTAAAAATAGTTCATAGAAGTAAAGGATACTGAAAAGGTTAGTAATTTTTAAGATAGGGTAACTTGATTCATTATTGTAGCTAGAAAGTCTTTCACCAAGTTTTACCTCTTCTGCTTAAAACCTGAGATGCCCTTACAAGGTTTGGTTGCTGATAGAGTATTTTATACCTTCTGCATTTTAATTCCTCACTTTTTGTTCACTTAGCAGTTTAAAAACAAAAATTAAATAACTTATATACCCCACCTCACAATTAAAGGCATATTAATACTTGATTTCATAATGTGTTCTGCTGCAGGATGACCCTGCCAGTCCATGCAGTCATTTACCCATTTCATTTTAACTCCCAGGGTGTTTTAAACAGGGCTTTCAGGTCCAGAAACTGCAGTTCAGAATAATACTTGCTGACAATTACATAATTCATACACAAAATTGAGGTACTAAAAGGTATTATAAAGCTTTTTTATGTGAACACTAAAATAAAAATTCATGTGATTCATGAAAAAATCTTTTCATTGGCTTTAAACATATAACACACAAAGTAACAGGAACCAATAAAATAAAGGTTAAAACTTTATGGGGTTATTGAGCACTTTAAAGACCATATAAAACAGCCATAGACTGCTTCTAAGTACCATGTTCAAATGCTTTTAAGGTGGACACCTTTTTGGTTGATCTTAGAAATTTTTTTAAGGTAGCAAAAAACCCTTTTCTTCCTATGCAGCAAATCATTCAGTATTGCAAACATGATCAATCTTGTAGGAGCAAATTAGTTCTATTTTTAGTCTTATTGGAACAAAGAGTTCCTTATTGAGTGAGAAAGAATATTTTGGAATTAAACAGCACTATTCTCTTGACAGAATTGAAGACTTTTCTTTAAATAATACTGAAGATATTTAAAGGTACTTATTAAGAATTTGATGTGTATCAAGCTAGTGCTGAGGACTTAAGAGGTTAGAGTTAACAGTGGCATTTATTAATATTAATGATTGCTAAGTACTTCAGTTGTTAAATATTATACCACCAGATAAAAAACTTCCCCTGAAAAACAACAGACTTTGTATTAGGATGCCTTCAGAAGGCACGCCTTGACTACACTTCTATCTTCAAGTAGTGACTGACACAAGAAGATACTTATATCACAATATAATAAAAGGCCATGGAAAGGTTTCAGTCTCTGACTGCTTAAGATTCAATCTCTTTCAGCCATAGTACATTTCCATGGGAAGGAGGAGGGAAGAATGAAATTATGCATTTTCCTTGGATTATTGCAGTGGTTTCACCCAGAAGCCATAAAGAAGGTTAGAACAGAATTAGAAACAGCAATATGTAAAACTAAGTCAAAGCCATAGAAACCACTATGAAATCTGAAACATTTAGACATAATGTCTAAACAAAATGCCAATGAACTACATCAGTTATCTTATGCACAAATGAATATCTTTACTAACTTTATACTCAGGAAAAGACTGCCAAGTGTTGGAACCCTGCTTGGACTATCTCTTGACTAACCAGACTTTCAACACGGGGCCCATTTTATTACATTATTCCATAGGAAAACCAGATTTTATTCTGAGGCAAAATACTGCTGATTTAATATTCTAAAATCTCTCTTTCAGGATGCATTTTTGCTTCTGTGCTATTATTTGTATATGTACAAAATAAATAGAGAAAATCATGTCAATTAAATCACGCTAAACCATAAACCCACTTTTAAAGAACAATATCAATCATATAAAGAACACTCTGCTACTTCAGAAGTGAAAGACATCATTATAGACAGCTGCAAATGTATTTAAACTTTTCCCAATCTTATTCATTTGCAATACTTCGTATTGCAATAAATAACACAAACTGAGGAAATAGTAAACACCAAGTTCAGTAATTTAAAAGCTAAATCACTTGGTGAATTCAAATTACTTTGAATTCACCTGAGGTTATTCCTGTGGAACTTGGATGTATTTCTTTCTTAGTGGTATTAGTAAGTTAATAATCAAGTCTAGTTTTGGAGCCCTTAAATTAAAGGGCTATTGTATCAGGCCTGTCTGCATCTTTTCATTTTTTAGACATGAAATGGTAAATAATTCCATTCTGTTAAAATTAAAAGTACTTTCCCCTTTTCTATAGAAAATAATGTTTCTTAGGAAGTGACAATATATTAAAACATAAATTCACTATACTGGTGTCTCACTCATATGAAATAACTAGTTCATTAGCACACAAAGGCATGGAAATGCTACAGGAACTAAGACTTTGTTTTCTGCACAGTGATTATGTAAGTTTTTCTTAAAATATGTGAAAAAATCCCAACTGATGAAGTAATTTCATGCTTACTTCTTAGAGAAACCTATTCAAAGAATTCATTAAAACCATTCTTTTAAATAATCTGGTATATGATCATAAAATTGTGTCCTTTGCTGAAAACATATTAACAGCTGCCAGGAAATAAATGAAGGCAACTGATGTTTAATGTGAAAGGTTAGACCTTCATTAAAATTGTCTAAACAAGCAACATCTTTTTTTCCCTTAGCACTCTCAGAAACATTTATATTAATTTATCATAGCCACATAATGTGGAAAAGAATGAAAACCCCATGAAAATTGAAGGTCAGTTTTGTACCCTGTTAGCACTCGCATAATTTCTATTTTTGCTATGGATAATGAAAGGGAGTGAGTGCACAGGATGGCCCCAAAATTCCCCTTGCTGAAAAGCTCGCTATTAAGGGGAGGGCTGTATGGTCAGCCATACAGCATAGATAGATTAGACAGAAGCATAAAGATGGATTTTGGCTTCCTCTCTTCTTTAATTCATTCTTTTTGTGACACATGCATTCCCCCTTTTGTTTTCATCAACATTTTCTAATGTCAAAATATTGCAAAAGGAAAGACCAAATTAAAGAATCTTTAATTGCAGTTCATGAAGAACAGCTTTTGGTAAAAATTCAGGATTTTTTACTTTTCTTCTCCTTAAGAGGAAAGCTTTTTCCTGTGCTTTTAGTTTCTAAGTAAATGCATCAGGTCTTTACAGGTAACTTACAAAGCATCTGAAGAAACAATCCTCATCTCACTTTAGTTATTCCTGTTTAACTCATCTCTAAACTGGCCTGGCTTTTCACAGTTTGGAAGATCTATTACATTTTTGCCTTTCTAGAAAGTGTATGTCACACTTCTTACTGGAATTTAGAATGATTTAAACTAGGAAAAGCAGCTATTCTAAAGGTAAAAATGAAGCTTCCCAAACCCTCCTTTGGTCACAAAGAGTTTCCCAAACTATTACAGTATGTTATGCATGTGTGTGTATACATACACAGATACAAAATAGTCTTCTATAAAGTACTGCAGAAGTCTAGAAAATAAAAAGAGTGTATTACACGAAAGACTTTTTAGAAATAAAAGACTTCTGACAGTTTTTGAGATTTCTAGGACTGAACCTCTATCACTGCAAATATGACAGAGTTTTGCCTATAGGTCATTCAGTAAAGACTATTGATGTTAAAGAGCAATATAATTTACTTTTGTAATTATTAAATAGAGTAAACACAGAAGAATCTCATTCGCTTCAGGAAAACTGAAAAAAAAAAAAAGCATCAGGTTGGGTTTTTCTTTCCATAGGCTAGTAATGTAACAAAAATGTATTTGTAGAATAATTATCTATGGTTTTTTCTACATGAAACATGAAAGAACAACAAGTGATTTTAATTTAAGAAAAAAAAAAGCTGTGGTGCTTACAAGAAGAAACTAGATTTTACAACTAACTGCATTTTCAAAAAATGGTAGTTTCTTTCCAAACAGAGAGAAGATTTGATATTTTTTTTATTTCTTTAGGGCCTGGTTTATAAATTACCTTCTGCTAAGTTCAGGATTATAGACTGACAATTCTTTGGCTCAAGTCTCCAGAAGGCAGAGAAAAGCAAAGAAGCTCTGCCTTCATGTGCAGATGCTATCTCTTATGTGACTCTGTGTTATTAAAGAAGCACACCAAGAGGATGAGGAACTGAGGAATATGACACTTGTGATTTCTTAAGAAGGTGCACACACACAGAGAGTCATGAAAGCATTCTTTAAAAATATAATTACTTATAAATCATCCAAAAACTGGGTGTTGTAGAAATAATTATTAACATTTTTAAATCTTCAGGGATCAGTAAAGCTAGCACCTTTTAACTTAGAAATAAATCACCATGTGCATTATGGTTTGTACAGTTTGACCTTGAGGGTGAAGGACTGGGTTTTCTAGGTCATCCAAAAAAATTACTTCTTTTCTTTCTGACACATAAGTCAGTAAATACCTCGCTTTAGCCAAGTCTATTTTTGTTGTGTGGTTTCCAACCTATTAACCAGCAGCATCAGAGCTTGATAACCTCTGTGGGAAACTGACCACCGAGCACATGGAAAGGCACAGCTCCTTCCCACAGTCAGTGGCCAAAAAATGATGTTTGGAAAGGTATGTTTTACTTATAACATGTTCTTTCACTTCATCTTCACATTTAGTTTATAATATTTTACAGACAATACTTTTTATCTTAAGAACTTCTTGAGTATTTATCCTGTGTGTCAGAAAAAATCTCAAAATATTTTCACTTTCATTCTGTCTGCTCTGTTTGGAACATTTTACCAGCCTGCGGGAGCTCAATCAATTCTTGAAGCATGAAAGTGATGTGGAAAGATGAGAAGTAAATATGTCATTACTAGCATGTCTTTGGAAACAGCACTTGCAGGAAAACACAACACTGAGCTGATTAGGAAGAAAATAGGCTTGTGACCTGAAGCCTGAGAAATCAGGCATACAGATGCTGGTATGCAGGAGAGAGCATATCCATAAATTAAACAAGAGTGAAAGAGTACAACAGCTTGCAGAGTACAACATGTAATGTGTCAAATGAACATGATCAAGTTAATCAAATAAGCATCTGCACAATACTCATAATTAATATTTCAACAGGATATTATACGTGTAAAATAAAATCTATACTATGTCTATTGCGTTATCTTTCCTCCACCCTAAACAGTTTCTTCTCACATATGCTGTTAACAATTCTGTTATTCTCTGACAGTACCTAGCACAAAAAGAAATGGACTCACCGTGCTTCTTAAGTTGTGAGGTTGAAGTGAATGGGTCCAAACAAACCATACTCAGGAGTTGCATGTTACTGCTATGAATCTTCATGAAAGCAGAACAGTTTCTGTATTTTCCAAGTACAGCATAGAGGACTTCCCATCCTTGTGTGTCCAAGGCACAGGTGGTACCATTTATGGGTAGATATCAATGTTGGCCATTATAGGGCAGAAGGTACAAATCACCTGCTAAATACATTTTACTACATCAGCCATCTTAACAGAAGAGATCCTTCAGGAATCCTTCTCACCATAAAGATCTCACCTGTGTGCTTCTGTTTCTGCTGCTGTAGCTCTGCCTTTTTCCTGTTGGCAGCAATTCTGCTTGCTCTGTTGTCTCCTTCAAAAACATGCTGTGAAGATGCCTCCCAGATGCTCAATGTTCAATGCCTAGATTTAAAGCAACATGGCATGTTATCCTACAGCTTAGCAATTATGGGGCATTTAGCAAATGGGAAATGAAAATTTAAATCAAAATACCACTGCCATACTTGAACACTGTTTCTTTTTCCTGTCATGATGTGATGTTATGTTTGTTTCAACTGTAACACCTCATTAACAAGTCTGGAATAATAGATGTTACTGCAGATTAGGCAGTCCGTGAGCTCTGAATACCCAGGGGTGTCCAAACTATGCACTGTATTTCTTTAAAGCTGTTTATATGAAATTTTGTCACAGATATTAAATATCACTGCTGGACTGTGGATATGAAAATGGTCCAGAGTAATACTAAATTTAAGATTCTCCCTAATTATACCCATTGACTCAAACTCCATCATTTATAGCTCATCTTGAATTCCCTGCAGCTGCATCTCTTACATAATAACCTCTTTATATGCTCATTGTTAATCATCCATTGTTGAGTATGTTTCATTTTTCCTTATTGCTCATTTTCAAACATCAGTCTACTATCTGACCAAATAAAATGCTATTTCCTAGAAAAGTGAATGCTGATAACACACAATTTTACTATCCTTTATAGATAGTAATATTGTGGGGAAAAAAACCCTAATTTAAAAGCATGCAATGAATATTAGACAAAAGAAGGCTTTGCTAAAGATAGTTGCTATCTGGAGCCTATACAACTAGTCTATTAAAAATAATAATTTTAAACAGCGTGGGCTGAAGCTTAATTTAGCTCACTGAAGTTCACAAGGAATTTTAAGTTCATGAGTCCTTTGGCCACGAAAATTCCCAGCATGCAATTCTCTGGGGACATACTGAGCAAATTATGTTGAAGGTGCCCTGTAAAACTCCTGAATAAATGACAAATGCTGGGCACTGGAACATATATTACTTTCTGTAATTTTGGAAGGAACATCATAGAATGCACCACATATTTAAATTTTTTTTAATTATCGTATGTTTAATGGAAATAAATACATTTCAGCCTTGATAATGTGTCAACTCCTTGGACCTTGTACTAAGGGAAAGACTGCAGCTAAACTTAAGCCTGCGCATTTCACTTTTGGCTCTTGACTACAACAGAGAAATCCACCTCAGTTGCTTGAAAAACTAAAGGAAAACACTTCTGTCCACTTCAAAAAGTGGTATTAGTGAAATCTGGGAACCAGCTTTACAGGAAATTGTCAAATCTTAGCACCCAGGCAACATTTCGGCGGGAAACAAAGGGGAGGGTTGAGGAAAGAGAGTATGTGCAGCTCAAAGTGCTACCAAGAGCTGGAGGTACTGGCCACTTTGTAAGCCACTTGCTTCCCCACTCTGCTTTTGTTTCTGCTTTGTATTTTAGTTGCTGTTTCACACCACAACATACTTCTAATAATTTGCAGCTATTTAAAATAATTACAAAAATCATGAAATAGCAAATGACTGTAGAAAATGACAACAGAAAGAATGTAAATTTTTGCAGCAGTACTAGATACAAAATGATTATGTTAGAAAACACCACTTTCACAATCACTATTTTGTTTTGCTGAAAGGCAGAGACACACACCAAGACATTTTAAGAATGTTGAGAGGTCTAAACCGATAGGCCTCTGTATCTAAGTAAATTTCAGCAAGAATGTGCAAAGAAAAGCAAATATTGTCTGTGAATTTATAAGAAACAAATAAAAAGGTGGAACCCCCCCATGCTCTCATGAAACCTCCAAAAAAATGATGTTTGTTTCTACTTGCATACATTCAAACAGTAGCAATGATAAAGATTACTAAATTTCCACTTTACAGGTGAAAACACAGAGATAAGAAATTACATCCCTAAATATGCTCTTTAAGAGAAATACAATAAAGAAAAAAAGGATAAACATAAGTTGACACATGAATTTAGTAAACAGCAATGTTCCTTTTACAACTGAAATGCAAAGAAGATAGTAAGCTTGTTGTGGAAACTTCAAATAGAACTTCATTGCACTAAAAAAGACGAGAATTATATAAAAAAGTGTTGGTGCGGATCTTATTTAATATTGTAGTAGACATTTTTCCAATTACTTTGGAATCACTTCAACAGAATGGGCCAGTTATATTTGAGTCAAATGTTTGGTATATATCTGTACATTTTAAAAGGCAGGAGGAGATAGAGAAAGAAAAATACTATGCTTAATTTCCACTGCATTGCAAACCTCAGTTTGTGCCTCCTATGTGGAGAGCTTTTTATGCTGCCTCAGGTCAGGATTCTGGAAAAACCCTCATAATATTCTTGGTTACCAATAACACTGGTTTAGTAAACAGTTTCCATGACTTGAACCAAGCCTGGAAATTGTAGTCTGTTAGTGTTGGTCAGAAAGCTGTGCTGTCTGTACTCTCTCTAGTCTTGCATTGATGTTCTTTCTAATATATTTCATATTAAACACAGCTGTCTTAGATCCAGACTTCATATTCTGCATCTTCTTCTGGTAATGTACTGCTAGTTAGTTATATAGACTTCTGGTACACACTTAGTATAAATTGTCTTTGATCTTTATGTGATTTTATTTAAATTTGCTTTCAAATACTGCAGTAAATTTTACTTTTACGGAGTTGTTCTTTTAGTTTTTAGCCTTTGTAAGCTTTATCTTGATTTTTTAAATGATATTTTACCCGCCCTGCTTTAAAAAAATGTTACTCAATCACTATAGTATCATAATACTTTAAAAAGGCTTATTCAAACTTGTTTGACTATTGTCAAATTACTTAACTGTAAAACTGTGGCCACAGTTTCTTTATGTGCTTATAAAAGATACAAGCATTTTGACTGCCAATAATACTAGTAGATATGGACCAGTGCACAGGATTAGTTTAGGCAGGGAAGTTTCTGTACGTACTGTATGTCCTCCAGTTGTCTATGTAATCCATTGTCTAGCTGCTGATTTAGCACCAATCTTCATTATCCTGCTGTGAGAAATGCTGTAACATTTCAATCAATATTATACAATTGGCTGAATATAACTGTGTGACCCCAGCAAAAACTGAAACATCACATTACCCAAGACTGTTTACAGTACAAATTCAAAATATATCAGCTACTGTGAAAAAAAATTTAACTATATCCTAGCCAAAACCAGCAGAGATGGCAATTCTGCAAATGGATCTTCTGTTTTCTCAGGAGGACACGTGCTCTTTTCAGGGCCTCTGTTTCATGAACACAGCTATTTTACACCTTTCCTCCAAAGGAAAATAGTCTTATTTTAAAACTGTCTCCAGCTGAAAAGGTTACGCATCTCTGGATCTGCTCTGGAGATAAGATGAATGAGCAGGTTCCAGGCAGCTACAGGGATTCTTTTCAAAGCCTCCCGAGAAATTCCGTTTTAGTGAAATGGAGCATTGCAGAGCATCAGCCGAGAACCATGGCTTTGTCTCAACAGTGTCCTTGCTGGCTTCAGAGAGTTTATGCAGCAGGTGTTATCAGCACTCCCCTCTAATAGTCACTTGAGGGGGTCTGTCATCAATCTTAATAAAGCCATCAGCATTCCAGCAGATGGTAAACATGATTCCATGCACTCCCATTGCACCAGAATGGATTCTCACCACAATTTTAATTACAGATGAGAAATGTATCGGAAAGAGGCTTTTCTCATGCTGGTATTTCCAAAGTTTTTTTCCAGACAGGACAATATTGTACTGTTTCATCTTTGCTTTGGTTTTTTTTGTTATTTTTTTATTTCACCCTGATTGAGGGAATTACAGATACTCTCAACTTGTTTAGCACAAGAATTAGCCTCAAAAAATTTCTGCATACTCTCTAACAAAGCAGCTTCTTGTTTTGAATTAGAATTTGAGATGCCAACTTTTTGTTGGCCATGTAAATGTCAGGAGTCAGCTCTGCAAAGTGCAACCTGAATTGCCATTGAAACAATTCTTTGAATAGAACTCAAAATTAAAACCCAAGTAAAATGCATTCACAGGTGAAGATTTTATGTAACTTTAGAGCAACAGATTAGATTTGTAAACACTTATCCTACTGCTCCAGTCATGTCCTATCCCCTCATACAATTACAGATTTATTATTTTCCTTTCAACTTACACTTCAATCTTTTCCCTTTGGGCCTATTCCTTCTATATCTCTTTGTCCATTCGTGCATATGTATCCTTTTAGTAGACACCACAATAAAAAAAGAAAGTTAGGTGGTAGACAGCTTTCCTTTAGGCAGCAAATGCAGTGGATGAAGTTAACACACACAGGATGAGGAAGAGGGCATCTTTTGAATACATTTAAAGATATCCTTTAAAAATATTCAATACTTTGAACATTAACAGTCGATCTGAAAATCTACTTTATATGCTGAATGCAAATTCTTCTTGCAATCCAAGGTAGTTCTGTGTATGCAGAAAAGGTAGTAGTAATTTGTAAATAGTTTTCCTCTATTTAAAACTTCATGTGTTCTGGCTTACTGACTTTTAGATTAGTGCAGGACTGGATAGCAAGTGGAAAATTCACTATCTAAATGAAGCATAGCCACTCAGTAGGCCAGTGAAATTGGAATCTTTACTGTTGGCATTTCTAACTGCAATGATTGCAAATTCCTTGAAATTTGGAACTCCAGTGCTTCATTCTTTTCATCATGTCTAGAGTATGAGATCAGAACATAAAAATAGCTTCTTATGTCACCTTTTTCTGAGAAGTACATGCAAAAATAGAATGCAATATCAGAGGCAGCACATAAAACTGAAGTAATTACATGACAGGAAGTTACTTGAGTATGGACAGACTTCAACAAATTATGTCCAACAAAAATGAAATTGTATAATGCTTTTAACAGGCTGCTCAACAGAACCGTTTATATCCCAGTTAAATACCTGTTCCCACCAATACCATACATGCAGTGACAAAAGCTTGATATGAACTGAATGCTGCATTAACCAGAAAGAAAAAAATAATCTTGTACTTTTCATTTGGCAAGTTTTGCAAGAGTTGCTTGTATTAGCCTCTAATTAAGTACCTCTTGGCACTACCTCAGTGCCTTTTCAAATGTTAATTCTATCCTTATTAAGAAGATGTCTTTGACATCCACTGTCATTAGGTTATCTGTATAGATACCCCAATAGAAAAGAATGTAAATTCAATTTATCCAGATTAAATTGAGTTTATGGTAATCATAATTCTCTTCAATAACTTTTTCACAGTAGGAAATACTGTGAAATTTTGCAAATAAATCTGAGCTCTAGCAGTGCAGCTGGAGCCATTGTGCAAGAAAATCATCACCCCAAAGCCCCCACTAAGACAGGGTCGCTCTTTGCAAAATAGGGTTAGAGCAACTTGAGACTGAAAGGACCTTATGCCATAGTAGCCCACATCTTAGAAATCTCTTCATAAGAGAATTTACATGAAAACCTCTTCAGTAGGACCAATATTCCTGTAATTCATGTTAAAAATGGTCCAAAAAGATGAATTTTTTCTAAATTCCTATTAAAATTCATGTGCAAAATACTAAGTTATTTAAATTTTACAGGTAATGGAATTGCTACCACAGAGATGTAAATTTGAAAAAACATCATAGATACATGCTACAAGTTAATAAAATTCTGAAGTAAGAGAAATGCAAATCAAACTTATATTGGTCCCTGGTTTGCAAGAATAAGAGTAAGAAACAGTAAATTCTCAAGTTTTTAGCTATTACTGGCATCTACAGAAAAAAAATAGAAATTATAAAACAAAAACAAAACACCAAAAAAATCCAACCTAGATGAGTTTTTTCTCAATGATGCCAATGGTAACTGAAAACACAATAATTTTGAGTTTTCTATTTTGCTCTAATACGGTAGAAGTTACAACATCATTGAAGTGATTCTCTGGTGTCCACTTGGGAAAGCACACACAATGCTGGGGCAAGATGATCCTGAGGCTGTTCTCGTTTATGCCAGGTGCTGGCTGCCTGCAGTACCTGGAGGAGCCAAATGTGATCTAACAACATGCACAGCTGCATTTCTTTTAATTTCTTCTCTCCCTCCCCCATCCTTCATTTCTCCTCTGCAGAGCCATTTCTGCATCACAGATTGTCCATAAGACAATAATGGTCAGCTCTTGAGTGGTTTTAAACCAAAAAAACATAATTAATATTAGGCTGTAATTGTAACTTATAACCAACTCTGAAAAAGGGTGCAAAATTCATAGCATTTTTGAGCCATAGCCCTTCCCACACAAATTCCTTTCAGCCACGTGCTGTCTCCTGCTACCTCTCAGCACACCCTCAGTCTGGCCAAGCTCTGTCTGCTCCCTGTGCTGTGTACTGTAACCCAGCCTGGTCACAGAGCTCGTCTCGCTGCCACTGTGTCACTTCTGACTGGGGTGTACAGCCCCAGAGTATCAACAGACCAGTGAGGAAAGAGCATGCAAGTGTCATGGAGCAGAAGAACAGCTACTTCCTTCCCTCCAGAAATCTTTACCTTGCTATTAGCCTCCAAAAATACTTTCCATAACAGTCAAGAGAAATATGCTTCTAACTGTAAAAGCACTAACAGAATAATTAGAATTAGTTTAAAACCAATTATGTTTTGTTGTTATTATTAAATCTGTACAACTGATAAATAAAAGGCAACAAACCTTACAGCATTGGCTAAGATCCCCTGGGCCATGTTTAGGTAAATTTGTTTAGGTTTTCCAGTGCATTGTTTGTACCTCCTGGCCTTTCTGCTAAAACTACCCACCATACCCAACCACTTTTCACATTTCATTCAGGAGCAGCTGTGGTTGTGGAAGGAACAGAGGAGGAAGAGGGAACAGATTGATGCAACAAATTAATGGATGACTGGTGATACCTTGGGTATTTTTTGCCAAAAAAGTGGCCTGTGCAATACTCCTGGTAATAAAACACCTTTAGCCTCTATGGTCTAATAATTTTTTTCAATGCTGACACATCATGCAAAAACTTCCTGTTGCTGTCAAGCAAGAGCTACTGTAAGTCACAGAAGTAGACAGACTGTTAAAAAATGATGGATTTCCACAAGGCATAACCTATTGCACATATGCTGGAAGGAACACTCTTAGAATGAATGACTACTGGTCAGGATGTGAAATACAACTCATATTTAAGATAAAAACTAGCAGCAGGTCTGAGAAAAGCACAAATTTATTAAAGATGGGTGAAGCACAATTGTCCTTGATTGCCAGGGATGCACTCATTTTAAAAGTACATTTGCAATGCTTGCTCGCTTTTAGTTTCATAAAACTCAAGGTGAACACATAAATTGCTTACATTTCACTGCAAAAATGGCTTTTACAATTTATTTTTCATTATTTCCTTTGTAAGAGTTCTATTTAAGAATTCACTAATTTGCAATGCATTATATTTTTTCCTTTTTTCAGTAGTTACAGGAAAATACTCTCCAACCTAGGATAATCTACTCAGGGGTCAAATTATTCTGCTTCTTATACAAATCATGGATAATATCTAAGTCTAAAAACAGTTAGAAGTTACTTCAGTCAGATCACATACAAGAATAGCACAAAATTTGTATACAATAATAAAGCTGCCAGCAAACAATAAAAAGGAAGTAGTCTAATGAAGCCTGTACATTTTGAAAACCTATACCATTCAAGTAATTAAGTGCTCTAGCACATAAGTGCAGCAAAATCTTGCTGGAGAGATTTATGCTGTCACCAGACCAACCACCTAGTCCCTTTTTATTTTGATACTGTACTTCTTTTACAGGAAATGGAGACCCAGTGAACCTTCCAAGTTATTCCCTTGCAAAAAAAAAAAAAAAAAACCACACACCAAAAAAAAACAAAAAACCACAAAAAAACCCAAAACCACAGTATTTTTTCTACTACAGCAGTTTCAGTTATTTACTTAACATAAGAGCTGCAGATGAGATTTTACAGCCATTGTGTCCAACTCCATACTGAGCAGCACATTGATTGCAGGGAAGGAAGGAGAAGCACCCCAAAACACAAACTGCAACACATTAAAGCCTTAGGTGGCAATAATTTACCTATTGTGCCTTGAAGGGCTGAGGCCACAGAATTATTATGAGATGCTAATAATATTGTGTAAACTATCTGCATGGAACATTGGCCCACTGCTGTGATAACTTAAATTCAGTTGATAAGTCACAGCAGAATTGAAAATCAAATTTCTGAAGTACAAATGCTCATCTACATATGATTTCCAAGACATTATTTGCTGGTTTTATGTATTCTTACATAATGATAAATGAAGTTAATAGAATTCCCTCTGTCACCTTTTCTATGCACAAAAAGTGTTTAAAAGAGCAAATGGTGTTTAATCCATTGGCTGTCTGTACACTCCATTTGCCCCAAAACCCACATTTCTTTCCTATTTATAACTTGTAACACATATCCTGTTCTTGATGTCTTCTAACAGGAAACAGAAAGTGAGAGAAATTCACTTTCATCACCATTGAAGAGTCAGCCTGGGAACCATTCTGCCATTTCTCAGGAGGAGTCTAGTGTGAAAAGAGGGAGAGCAATCTTTGAAAAGATGTCATCAGAAAATGGCCACAGCAACAGCTCTGAAGGTAAGCATTACCCCATTGACCTGATACCTTGCTTTAAGGCAGTGGTCTCCAAATCTTTTTGATGGTCACCTCTACGATTAAAATATTTATGAGTCTGCCCTCCCAATGTTGTATATATATTTATGAATCATGTACGTGTACTACTGTACTAGTAAAACCTGAGGCATCATATACCAAAATAAAAGTTAAAGTAGGATGGATGAAAAAAGAAATATTTAAAAAGTGTTTATTCACAAAAAAGATGGGATTGCTGCACCCCAAAGGAGAGTCTTGAACAGCCCCTGGGGTGCACATGTTCCACTTTGGAGACCAATGCTTGACGATATCAAAAAGTTGCTATATCTGTGCTTTGGTTTGTTTTAACGGAGAAAGAATATGCACGATCAAATTTTCTGATTAAATACCACTTATTGACTTCGAAGTGTCTAGGACTTGACCTTATATAAAATAGATTATCCAAATAAACAGCATTAAAGGACTTGTCCAGTCTCCCAATAAAATTCATAAGCTCTCTACATAATATCAAACAATTATTGATTCCACTCTTTAATCAGAAAATGTTTAGACTGCATATTTATCTATGTCAGACTCTAGAATTATAAAGGAAAAGGGAAACTGAAATTCGTAAGACCTTTTTTTAGCTAATGTTGCTAAGTTTATTAAGCTCATTGTTTAAACTACAGACCCGTTCTTTTATCAAGTTTAACTTTCAGCCATTGGCTGTTTTCCTTTTTTCCCCTACCATACTAAAGAGACCTTTCATACCTGCTCATTTCTTCTTGGAAGGATAATTATATATTATGACCATATCACTCCACAACTATCTAACATTAACTCAACAGAGCTACAATTCTCTTTGTGGCAGTATTTTTTGTGCCGCTTCTCTACATCTCCTGAAGTTTTTCAGGTATCTTTGGATTTAAGGACTATTTTGGGGTGTTTTCTACTTCTCCTTTTAGAGATTTCTAGCACAAAGCCTTTTTTTTTTTCTCCTCTGACAAGAAAACAACAATCCTCCATTCCTCATCCACTCTGCCTTTGAGTCTAAATATGGCACAGCATGTTTCAGAAGCATTTTTTGATCCACCAGGAATAACAAAGAATATGATTTATGCAAAAATGCACAGTCAACAATTCCTACTTCTTATACATTAAGCTTTTTCCAAAAATGTGACAGCCCCACAGGGGATAATGTTTTTCTATGTTCCTATGAGAGCCATAATATCCCATTTTGGATTCAGACAGCCTTATGAAAAGTAAATTCCCTATAGGCTCATTTTAGTTTGAAACCACACATGAAAACTCTTAAACTTCTAATAGCTGAAGTCAGGCAGTGAAATCTGAAACTGCTCTTGAACAAATACTCAGGTCCTGAAAAAATAAGATCATGCTGATCCATAGATTATTTCTCCCATCACTGTGAGATTTGAGATTTTTATAACCAATAACAATATATGCCAACTTGCCTCAATTTTTCTGCAAGAACAATACCCTCAAACCACTAAAGTGCTATGCAAGTTTTTCCTAAATGTTCCAGTTAGACCAAAATCTTATTTTCCTAGAAGAAGTATTGAGCAAAATTTACTGCTCTATGACTGAGTACCAAAAACTTCTGTTGTCTCCACTGAAAAACAATGAAGGCAATGCTCATATTGGTGTTCATATGCTGGAGAAGCCCATACTGGATAGCTATGAAGGCATAATGTTGGAATAAAAAAATAGCAAAAACCTAGAATTCTGAAGTTCTATTACACACAGATGATTTTTCAAGCTTCATTTACTTTACAGAATTATGTAACTCATGACTAATAAAAGAACTAAATTCTCTGCAATAGATACTATCATACAAGCCCCATATGACAAAGGCAAACAGATTTTGTTGGCATAGCTCAACTTGATAAGGCTCTTCTTACCAACTAGTTCAACAGAAAAACATACATTTATCTCTGAAAGAATCAGAATATATTACACCTTCAAATTCAATTGAATGAGCAAAGCTTAGAGCAAAATGAATGAGCAAAGGTTCAGAACATTTAATCTCTCATACCACCACAAAGAGTTTCACATTATGTTGTAAACTAACTAGCTTCTTAAGACAAAAAAAATTCTGTTTAAAGCTTTTAAAGCTAACAAGAGAATAGTTTCTATTACCTTCACTCCCCAAGTGGTTAATAATATGTATCTATTAAAATGTTTTTTAAAACAGGCCATTAAATTCATTGGCCTCATATCAGCAAGGAATTAAACCACATCTAACTTCATGCACATGAGTATTCCCATTGCACTTAATGAAACCATTCACATGCTTATGACTATGCACAATCCAAAAATCCCTTGTTGAACCAAAATACCAAGAAAGATTTTTAACATTCTTAAAAATTAAGGCAATGGCTAATACATTTCATTCTCTGTGTTACATAATTCAATCTGCCTTTAAATATTAACTGACACTTTTTGGCTGTGGTGGACTATCCCCCTGTGTTGCCAAAGTGTACTTTCAATTTTTCCATGGTTTTGGTTGGCATTCGTTTAATGCACAGGCTTCTTATTTGAAAAACTGCAGTTTTCTCTCTTCTCATTTCTTCTTCCCCTAAAAACCTCTTTTACTTTCAGCTGACTTTCACTGACTCTTTCACTGCTGCTCTTATTATTTCCTGAACTGTAAAAATCTTTTGTCTACCATGATAATATGAAATATGCAGAATTACTGAATGAGATAAGCATAATAGCAAAGAAAATTTTCCTTTTGTAAGTTATGAGTAGGGTCAGGTAAAAATACTAAGAAACTGAGTATATTTACACTGAGATCACTCTTCTATGCATGTCTCTATCTGATTTTTATTGAAGATTAGAATTACTTGTGATATTTGCTTGCTATATCCAAATCTTGAACACTTATGCCGGCTTTAGAGGGAATGGGCAGAAAGGCCAGATGTGCCTTGGAAACTTGGTGTTTGGTGGGATACCCCTTCCCTGGCACTATGTTCTGTGCCAGAGGAACAGACCGTTGTTCAAAAGTCACTTTTTTGGTTGCATTTCTCCTGTCACAGACAAGAGAGATGATCACAACACATTCTATTTGTCTAAAAGAAGGGAAAATAACCTTACACTAAATTTAAGGCACTTTCTGGGGTATATGGAATTTATTTGACACAGTCAAATGAGTGCAGAAAGCAGCAGAGAACCCCCTAGTGCTAGTAACTCAGAGCTGCTTTTTCAGGCATCCTCTGAGCTGCTGCCTCCACATGCACTGTAGCTGAATTACCAATACTTCTAGGTAAGCCTATAACCTCTTCACACCTTGAAACAACTTTGACATGTAGTTAGCAATGGAGATAATGTTCTATAAGGTTTTAGTAATACTAAACCAACTAAAACATATCCTAGTGAAAGATCAGTAAACAACTGTAATCTACAATAGACTCAGACTGTGGTAAGCAAATACTATAAAGTCTAAGGCTAATTAGAACATAATAGATCTAATTATAATAAACTACTTGTAGTACTTAAAATTACTTTTCACAGGATAAAATAATGCAAATATAACACTATTAGAAAAATACTATGCTTGTTGTTTAAATTTTGTATTTTTTTAAATTAGAAATGCTTGTTGCTTTTACCCAAGAAATTTTCCCCACTCTGAAAAGTTTCATTGACTTAAATTTTTCTGTACTTTCTAAGCTCTAAGTTGAAAATAAGATAAACTTGTTTAAAAATTGATGATATGTTTTCTTTTTGCTACTGCTTCTATCTCAAGATTTAGAAAAATGTACTTATTTTCCTCTTAGAAAATACCATGTGTGTTTGTACTTACAGTGGAGTCTCGCAAACTTGTAAGAGGACTATCTAAGGACAGCACTCCCAGGGCTGATAACACACTGCTGGATTTCCAGGAGACTGTCTCCTTTAAAGAAAGAATGGCTATGTACAAGGCTGCTGTGTCCTTTGCCCATGTAAGATATCAATGGTTTCTTACCTTCCTACCTCTCCATTTGCTTTGCACAGTGACACATCCTGCATTCTTTATTTACTCAAGCTGACTGATGGACCATTATGGGGACCAAAATTTGACACCTAAATTAACAAACCTACTCAGCAAACTAATTGATGCATCAGTCTCTATCGCTGCTGAGAGAGATTTTTCATGCTATGGAGCTTTGGTCATCTGGACAATTTCCTTTAACTCATTAGAAGGACTGAGTTTTTCTTTCACTGTTGCATGAGCTGCATTTATTAGGGCTATAGGCTTGTGATACCCAGCAGCTTCTGCATTACTAAAATTATTACTAAATAATAAAATCATATTCAAAAGCACATGAAGTTTAGGCCTTGTGCTGTTCAAACTAAAGAATTTGAAATTGCTGCATTTTAAAATAGTCACTCTATGAGAGAATGTGTATGAATAAGTATTGTTTTGTAATAAAATTATTTAAAATTGGCATTATATAAAAGAGCACTTACGAAAAAAATACTTCTTAATTTTGTTTTACAACTGTCTCAAAATGTCTATCAATAGGATCAAGTATTTTACTGCACATTTTAAAGTATTGATACCATGTAGCACAGAATGTATTTGGTTAAAAGAATTTGTAATTTATTAAAATAGACCTCCTCACTACACAGTGAATTATCAGTCCAGAATATCTGAAAACTGTGTCTTCAGATCTCAGCCAGGAAAATGTTCGTCAGTTCTGCAGAAACACTACGGGTTAAAAACTGTGGTTCTACCATATCCTAAAATCCCAGCCAGAAGTTGCAGCTCAGATCCTTTGTATAAGGAATGAAGGCTTTATGAGGGCTTGCTCTAACATGAGAAAGACAATGGTCTTTGTTTTCACTAAACTTTCAGCACATGGAAAGAACACCTTCTTCTCAATGTAAACTAGCCAGAGTAACTTCTGTAAATCAGAGACCATACCTGGCAAAAGAAGGATTACAATTCAGCTCTCACCAGACATTATCTTCATCCATATGCAAGTAGAGTTGTAGAGGATTCCCAGTCTTACCTGCACTTCAGTCTAGGAAAAACAGGTTGGCATTGCCTGAAGGGACCTTCTGGGTGCCTGGATAATCCAGAAACCACACAGTGAAAACAGCCACCAGAGTCCAGGTGTTTTCCAGCCATCAAACTCCTTCCTGATGACCCAACTGCCTGGTGTGTATTCAGAGCAGATTCCTGCATTTCACCTGTCTGAGAAGGTCCCAGTTCTCTAGTCCAGCAATTACAAACTTTGCTGAAGTTAGTACCCTCTCTCACAATGAAAAGAACTGCATGAAGCCTGACCCAACCTGTGTTGAGCCCATAGGAACTATTTCATTTATACTCAAAAACATCTCACAATTTCTTGGATGGTTGCCTGAAAAAAGGAACTTTATATTTGGTTTCATTAAAGGGAATTAATACATTTCATTGGAGGACCCATAATTGCATTTACCTGTTCAAAATATCTCCAAATGGTTGTTAAGGTGGGCCTGAAATGTTAATTCATTAAAACAATTACCTTCCAAACTCATATATCCATGTACATATATAATCATGCAGTCTTCATCACAGGGAAAAAAAACAACCTGTTTTATATGGTCTGCTTACTTACTCATATATTAGCAGTAAACTTCACTTAGTAGCTTCATTACAAATATATTCCTGATTTTTGGGTGGGCTTTTTTCTGTATAGAGATTAATAAATTAAAATGCTGAAAGCTTCATCCAATACCATCTAAAAAGTATGACAAAAGGGGCAGAACTAGAACAGGAAGCCTGAGGGTAAATGCCCTCTTGTGACCTTCATTGCTGTTGGGGAAGACAAGGTCGTCTCACTAAGGCCAGCTTGAAGGTCTCTGCATGTTTTTCAACAATGCCCACTGGAAACACAGAGGACCAACTCTGTGGTCCTCTGTGGCAACTCTGAATGCCACAGAATTCAGAAGAGACAAGTAGAACAGGGAACAGCAGATTGTTCTGGAAAATGGTTGTTACTGCCAGTGAAGCAGATGGGACTTACTTCTTTTGGTGCTCAAGATTCAGGCCAAACATACCTTTAAGTTGTCTAAATCATCAAGTATGCCTCTTGTGCAGTGGTCTATGAACTTGGCAAAAACAGTATTTATGATTCTGAGTCATTCCTGCATACTGCTGTTAAGCAGCTTAAAAAAAAGTTCATAGAAGTATGCTTTATGTGCAAATAGAAAACAACTGGTTTTACTTTATCGCTCTAGAGTTCACAGAAGACCAAGTTCTGTACTGTGCCTGGTGGCCTGGCAGCAGTGAGGAAACAATTTGAGAAAGTACAAAGGATGTCTCCAAAAAAGACCTTTGTTCAGTACCAGCACCAGCAAAGATCTCTACAGGTAACAACAGCATTTTAATACTATAAAACCTGGTCTGCCCTGCCAGATAACTGAGGAAAAAAATATTAGTGCTTGCTTTACTGATGAGTTTTCATTATGACTAAGACAACATTTCTCTAGTGTTCATCCTCAAAGAATTTAATATTTGAGACGTACCACAGGATTCATATATTTTTTTATGCAGATGGACACTCACTATAGATTAGACTCAACTAGACTTAAATTGAGTAAAGCAGATTATTACTATGAGTATTTTATACTAAAACCTGTCTATAAGACTATGATTTATACATTATCATGTGTCATGGTGATATTTTCCATTTATTGCACTTGATGTTAAGTCATTCTCTTTCAAAAGGAGTTTCCTGCTTCCACTGAATTAAATCTAATAAATTTCCCTAGACAGATCAAAAATTGCACAGAAAAACCCAGACATTACATAAAAGTAGAACAAAGCAGTAACTAAGTGTTACTTCAGACAAAAGACCTTTACATTTCATTGCTTCATTAGGCTATACCATGAATAATTGTTGTAGGAGATAACGATTTTGTACTATGTGAATCCCCTGCAATAAAATGCTGTACAATCCATCCTGTACACTCTGAAAAACAGTAAATTTCTTTACCATCCTGCACTTCTTGGAGAGATTTTTAAGCAATATTGTTCTCCTAGCTTAGTAGAAAAAGACACATTAACATTTTGCCACAGGCTTCTTTTAATGTTAAGTATCATCATATCTACCACTAATCTCTCATTTCTTATACATTAATATCTATATCAACAATTTGCACAGACAACAAGCAAGACTCCAGTTTGTAGGGAAGAAGACACAGCTTGCTGCAGGGTTATGAATACATCTTTAAGCAAGCAGAAAAATGCCATAGTGGGACATAGCCATAATGGTGCATAATCAGTGCTAATAGGAAGTGCTGTGTACATACTTTTCAGATGATGTGGCCTACTCTACCTGCCAGTTTTATGGGTGAAGGAATATAGAGCCCTGTACAGAAATTATGTGACTTTTCTCTTACACAGAACCAAATCACTTCATTTCTCTGATGTCTAGGTGCATTTTCCCAGGACATCCATCTCTCCAAAAAGCCACTAGAATGGTTCCATTTCTCCAGTCAAGATGTGACCTCAAAGAACACTTATCCATGTATTTTTCCTCTGTGGCTAGTTCAGGAGGCTCTCTCAAATCATCAGCAGAAATAGTCACATACACTGAAAAATGAAATCACTCAGACCAAATGGAACCATCTTTAAATTTAGGTTAAATAACTTACTGCAAGACCATAAAATCCCATTTCTATGTAACATAACTGCACTTTCTTGGAAAATGGGATTATACACTTAAGTAATTGAAAGATTATTTAAGGTCACTGGATCCATCCGGGGGCAAAACAGAGAAAACACATAGTTTGAAGACAGAGCTCCAGATCTGGATAAATTCAAAGCATTAATCCAAGATAAAATAAGGATGCAATTAAATTTTTAAAAAGTAATCTAAATAGATGAACATTCTACTACACATTCAATTACTTTATAAAGAGTTCATGACTTAATTCAAAATATTGTCATCAAATATGTAAATAATAAGTATTAATCTTCCTGTTTTCCTCAGGCAGCAGCCATCACTCTTAGCTCCCTACATTGTACTGGAAATTGGTTCTTTGTAATAGGTGTCATAATACCAGTAGAGCTCAATATATTCTTGTCCAAAATGGTGAGCAGCAATGAAAGCTGACCACAGACTTGTCCTGTGCTCATAAACTCAACCAGAGTCTGATTAGAGACCTGGTCTGTGTTCTGACCACTGGCACCATGAGCACCTTCTAGCTCAGCCACCAAGATGAGAAGGGGCCACGAGCTGTGGTGTCACACGTGGGCAGGTGCCAGCCTGGAGTGCCTTGTTACCCCGGCTCAGCCCCCTGATGGCTCAGGCACAGCCTCAGGGCCCAGTGTCAGAAATGAGCCATAGCTGGCAAGTGAGCGGCACCTCCAACACAGCAAAGAGTGGAATACAGAGAAAACCTCTGATAGTCACTCACCCATTCAGTGCAGAATGTCAGAACTGACACGGGCATAGCTACTTCTCCTTCATTCAGGGTCATTCCAGAGGAATTTTCTAAGATGGCTACAGTAGCAATTGCCAATTTTCTAGCAATTGCAGAGAGAAAGACTGAATAACGGGACAATGTCAGTGAATGGTGAACACCTCACATTTTTATGAAAATCTTTCATATAATGCCCAAGACATCTTAAGTATATAAATTCAAATAAGCAAGGCTGACAAATCATAGGGATGAAGTGCAGATAAGTGAAGTTCTTTTATGAAATTTCTGCAAGACTCTCACAGAGCTGATGTGCAGCGAGACTGTGGTAAAGAACATAAACAGATAAAAAAGCATTGCTTTGAGGAAGAAATGAAGATCCATGCCAAATAGTCATTCCATTGTCACTAACTTTGTAACTGAAGATTCAGGATTCCAATTTACTTCCACTGCTGCTTACAAGTTTGTACATACTGTTCATTCAAAACAGAAAGTTCTAAATTTGCAATACATAAACAATGTTATATTAGCCAACTTCTGACAGATTATATGTTGATATAATGTTATGTTGTATCACATAACAGTGGTACAGTTCAGCTCAACACATTATGCATCAGTTGTGAGATAGTAAAAGTCTTTCTTGTGCTTGGATGAACCTCTGAGCCATTTGATCTCCTTGAAACACATACTGACATAGACAGAGAACTGTATACATGTTTTATGCATATTTACATATAATGTAGTGTACATATTCTGAGCTGAAAAACAATTCTACTTTTGAAAGAGAAAGTATGTTTCAATTGTTATTAGAACGAAAGAAAACTAAAAATATCAGCACAAAAAAGCAAATCTTGTTCTAAATTACTAAATTACACAGAATTCTTATTGAAAAATGTGCCAAGATTTGAATTATCAGTAATTGTTCTATCTAAATTATTGCAGTACAGAAGCACTAAAGTTGTTGTATGGGCCACTAACCTAAAACATGTGTAGCAATTACAGCTCCGTGCAGTAACAGAATCTGAATGCCTACATAAAAAAACACTCCTCTAACAAAACTTATACAGACTTATTCTCAGCCTTACATGTTTATTTATAAATTGTATTGTTTTAGGTTAGAGCATGTTATTACCCAGCGACACATCAGTACACTACAGTGCTCTGTGTTAAGCACCATGCAGATGTGCATGGGAAGGCCAGCAGCCCACACAAAGGGTGAAGGGAAACAAATGTGAGAGACTGGAGGATAAAGAAGCCTGAAAGAAACTGTCCACGAGCAAGCAGCATGCCAACAATCATCCAGCTGAAAGGGTTTTCTGAAACTTACTTATGCCATAAATAAAATGTAATTGATCAATTTTACAGAATATACTACAAAGGCCATGGGATCTACAAAACATAATGGGGAAGACTAAATTAATCCTACCTGCAGTAATGCTATATCCACCAGTTGGCAGTTACAAAGGAGGGATGAAACCACAGGTGGTCTAACTCTGCACTTGTTCAGAGTAATAAACAAGCAGCATTTAACATCCTGTTACTTGAATTTCAATTAGCCATTTTGACTGACACACAAAATAAGAAATCCTCCATGTCCCTCTCCCTCCCAGCATGCCCAGAGAAAGGCTGTTTAATTATATCATCAAAATCTGGCTCATAATGTTTGGGCTGCATTTTCAATGGCCATTGCTATAGTATTAAATTATTATGCTCTTTTGCAATATGGCAACTACTTCATAAGCAGTACCAAAGTTACAGCAATAAAGCACTAGTGACATTCAGATTAGATTTGCTTCCTGACTACATTAAGTCTAATTATATTTCTTTTTAATGCCCCACACCATTCAAAGGACACATAATGACTACTCTAAACATTTTTCACATCTCATGAATGAGCTTTTCCAGTAATGAGAGCTTGAATTACATATCTAAAACATGCACATTAGAACAGAAAAGCATATCTTAAATGAAAAAGCATATATATGCATAAATATATTAAAAAGCATATCCATATAGAATGAAAAGGCATATTAGACATACACCTCCACAGTTATTAAACAGAGAATAGATGGAAAAATTTGCACTTCATTCTTTTTTGAACTGCCTCTTTTCAACCTGATATGTGGTTAGCTCGGCATCTCCTCATATGTTGTGCAGCTCCCTCACAAGTGTTATGTACACAGAACCTGCAAGCGTAAAACAGGACATCCTGTAAAAGCAGGACATGCTGTGACCTGCTCTGCTCAAGCCTCAATGCACTCCAACAGCTCAGACAGGATTGCTTTTGATACTGTTAGTGCACTAAATCATTTACTGGGACAGCAATAAGAAAATTTCTTCTACCCTTTGTTTGTACAATTTTAATTCATCTTAGAGGTGAAACAAGATTTGGCAGCACAGAAGTGGAAAAGAATTACTAAAGCCCATGGAGGGAATGCTCATTGTTTCTCTGCCATAGATCTAAGAACCCTTGCTGCCCACTGCATGGCAGGAATCACAGGCCAAGCAGTAGATGACTCCTATATTGATTCAGCAGAAGTATTAATGGAGATGCAAGCTGTGTAAGCATTCCTTAGTCTGAAGGTGGAATAAATTCCATACATATATGCTTTCTCATGGCATGACTAAGAGAAAGAAGTAATTTCTTGCCCCACAATTAACTGAATTTCAAGTAGTAATCAGGACTTGAGATACAGGAAGCTTAGAGCTCTATGCTGCCCTATAGGTACAGCAGCAATCTCAGAAACACAGTACTGCCTCCATTCATGTTCAAGTTACATTGAACACTTGGGAAACTCTTGCTGGAGGGACCAGAAGCTCCTTTCATTTGAAAGCCTATTATCAGTAGAAACTAATAGACAAGCTTCCTTCTAACAAATGAAAAAGAAAATACAATTTGACATGAGTGAAATTATTCGTTAGATGGCTCTGTGTGCATGGGAGAGGAAGCCCAGGACTGCTTAATAATATCAGTCTTTCAGATTTATTTCTTCTAATCACTAAGTCTCAAAGTACCCCATAGACACTGGTAATGATGTAATACAGGTTTGATGGCAGGCTTCAAATAATAAAACAAATCACTGTCAGAATCTGAAGCCAAACCAAACACAGACTCAGAAATCAGTTTACACAGACATCTTGGACAGTGCTTTAAACTCCTGAGGGTACACTGTTTATTCCACTGCAGTTGTCAGGCTTGTAGTTACAAAATATACAGACCCTGTATATTTTACAGGATCTTTTGGTTACTTCATGGGTCACATTTTCTACAATTGCAGTTCAGCATTATTTTTGCATTGGAAGAACTTTATAAAGCATATGCAGGGAATCATCACCTCATACAGACATATTACACTTCCTTTTAAAAACTGCAGTAGCATTATGTCCACTGCCAGGCAACAAGTTGGCGGCACAGCACATAAAGCCAGAACAAGTCCTCCTTGTCACCTCTGCTCCCTTCCAGTCCAATTATGTGTTTTATCTATTCATGCACCTTGCCATATCTGCTGGCCAGCATCTTGCTGCAGTAACAAAGACTTGACATCTGTGTTATAAAAAAGACAGTTCCAAAGCTGATAGCAATACATATTAAAAACAATGGCACTCTGCTGTAAAATGGCTGCTCTTGTTACACCATTTCCATCAGAATTAATTTCTGACAGCCCTTCAGGAAAAAAAATCTGATTTACTATTAGCTGTTAATGTGAATTTTTTTGTTTGTCTTGAGGAAACATCAAGTAGAAGGCACCACACAGTATCAAGCAGCACCAGGGAAGCTGAGTGCAATGAAATGACCTCCAAAGAAAAACAGACAGAAGCCTCTCAAACACAAGAGGTAACTACACTGATACATACCTGCTTTGTTTCTTCCTTCTTTACCTCTTGCTACAGCAAGATCTGGATTTTTCTGCTGAGAGCTTACTGCATTACTGAGTGCATAATTTTTACAGGTGTTTCACTACAAGTTTTTCATGTCTTTATTGTTTTATTGTGATAATTTCTATATCTACATTCATATTTTTCATTGATGCAATATTTTAAATATGGTTTCAGTAGTATGTAAAATTCATATGCATTGCACTAAATCATGAGTAAAGTGAAGGTTTTGTGCACAGGTTTCTCCTCACGAGCAAGTTATTAATGAAATGAAAAAGGCTTCTACATTCACTCAGCATGAAACAGGTAAGAAATGGCATGAGAATAAATGCTCACAAATGAGCAATGGCAAATGTCTTTACTCCCACAAATGTACTTTTCTTAGCATTTAAACATGAAAAACACACTGCTCCAATTCTCAGCACAGCTCATTCCTTAACTTCAGTGGGACTTCAGAAAGAAGTTAGAATTCAGCATGAAGAGATTATGTTTGCATAAGGATGTGGTTTTAAGCATGGTCTGAGTAGCCTGAAAGAAGAGGGGACCTGACAACTTGTCTGAAAATATAAGCAAACACCAGTCCTTGTACATAAAAAGCTGTGGATGGGCAAGGTTCAGTTTGTAGCTGACCTGAATAATCTGCAGAATATCACAGCAAAGAAGATCACAGTGTTAAGACAGTGCTGCTGCTGCAGTTTAGCCCTTGAACAACAATTCATGCATTTCATTCTCCCACACATCTCAGTCACCCTTTGGCCCTGCCACACCACTTGGGTATGGCAAAACAGTAGTTTATATCATGTCCCTTAACAATTATTCTGACATTTTCTCTACGGAGTTCTGCACTGATCAAATGACTCTCTAGACTTCTACAAGGCTAAACACAATTTTTCCAAGATATTAATGTTTTATAATTCACTGATAAAATCTATTTCATAAAATGCAGGTTGGAGAAAAACCAATCTTTTTTATTCTTCTTCCCATTGCAGTAATCAATTCAGCTCAGAATGAAGAGCTCCCAAAGACTGTAACACAGATTTTAAAAGAGCAGATTGAGAAGGCAGCTCAGGAAAAGGCTGTTCACTCTGACAGAGAGATCACAACATCTGCTAAAGAAGTAAAGGTCTGTATTTTTAATGAGCGATCTTTCCTTATGCAAATTAGAAGTTAAGACTCTGGTCTGTCATGCTGTCTGATTTTCTATTTTGAATAATTATGATTAAAAATGTAATTTATGGAAGCTGTGGGAATATATAATCTTCAGGAAATAAGTGCACATAACGTAACATGAAATACATTAGAAAGCTCTATAATTACTTACAGTATGTGACAAAAACAATTCAAGGTAAAAACTTCTGCATTTATTTCCTCCTCTGATGAATAGTCTCCTCTTTCCTTGTTTTGAATCTGTAAATATGTATAATTTGTTACCACAAACTCTCAGGAGCCTGGAAAATACCACTTTCAAAAGAAATTAAAATGAACACAAGCTACAGCTAAAGTTTGTTATGCTCATAGTGCAAAGTCTGCATTTGTTGCAGCAAAATCTCCAAGACTGCTCAATCATCATTTTGCAAGAATTCCACATTTCTTTTCACATATATTCTATGATGCAAATATCACAGCTCTTAGCTCAAAAGATTGGTTTTATGCATTCTGAGCAATAGCTGATAGATTGTGTCTTTCCAGATCCTATTATAATCCTATTGCTTGGATGCTTGAAGAACTAGCTTTTGTGCAGAATAGAAAAAATGCTTTCTATATTGCTGTGCTTAAGAAAAAAGGGAAAAAAAAAAAAGACTTCAACAGTTCATCTGCCACTGCTACAACTTTAGCAAGCAGAGGACAGGAAATTTCTACACCAAGGAAAAAACAGGATGGAACTTCTCCCTCTCCCCTTATTTGCTCCTGATACATGGAAGCACAGGAAAAGCTCCCAATACTTCTGCAAAAGCTCCAATAGAAATGTCAGTATAGTCTGAGTCCACTAGACCAGCCAGCTCTCCAACAAAGTCCACTGTGTCCACAGATCTGTAGCTAAAGCAATTTACGTGAACTAAGACATTTAGTTGTTTACATCCAATATTAAGAAAACACTCAGAAAAACATTTTCTAATATTTTATGTCATGGATCTGTGTCTCCATCTTATTGCAGGAGTTCCCTACTGTTGTCTCCTTATCACAAGTTTCACACCTTGGTGTTTCTCATGGGCAGCTCCTCAGGGCACTGACTCTTTCTGCCTCACAAAGCAGCCAACTGATTCCAACTCCCTTCTCAACAGCCACCCCACTCTTTTACAGCACTCTTCTTCTCATTGCTTACAGCTGTGGCCTGTTAAAGTCAGGCCTGTTCCTAATCTTTGATAATTGGCCCAGCTGCAACTCCTTAGGGGTAAGATTACTTTCTACACTATCTTTATTTTCTTATATTCTATCCCTCTACACATTTGAAACACAGAATTTGATTTTAGATATGCAGCAGGAACATCTAAATGGCTTTGCCTTCATCATTCACAAGGCCAGAAAAATAATGCTCAGTGGCATGAAACCCAGAGAGGAGAGGTCCTCTCTCTAAGACAGGTCTGTGAGAACCAACCTTTTGTTCCATTTCCATTCCATGATCCTCCAGACCCAGATGAAGCCAGAAGTACTGCAGAGAAAGAACCATTGCAGGAAGAACTGGTAAAATACTCAGCCTGAATGTTTCAGATGCAGCCTCTTGACATGCTGCATGCACATGCCCCGAGCTCTGCAGGAACTATGGACAATGCATTAGGTACAGGAGGTGTTGGTGCAGGCTGATGGGTGTTTGAAATGCAGCTACTGAGCTATGTGAATAAAAATCCCCAGAGAGGAACAAGTATCAGATGAAACACGTATCTAAGAAGTTTCTAATGGTGCTGTAAAGAATCTGAGGTCCATGCTGGAAACACAGAACCTGGATAAACTTCAGCAGCTCAACCCAGTTATTTCCCTTAACTTGTAGCAGACAAGGCCTGAGCTGAAAGAGAAGCTGACCTCTTTACAGAAGAGTAAAGAGAAGTATAATGTGTTTTGAACCTCAGCCATTGTGTGTCACCACAGAGAGCTTCAAAGATGGGAGAATGAAGCTGTCCATGGATAAGACACTGAAAAGAGGCATTACACAATAACACACCAGATGAATGCAGCTTTTACCTGTGAAAATAAAACTCATATGTGCAATCTCAGTGGGGGAAAACATAAACAGTGCTACACACACGGCAAAAAAGCTGAAATAAAGCCTTGACACACACAGGATCCAAAGGAATTAAGCCCATCTGAAACATCCATACAAAAATCAGACAAGCAAGATCAAGGTCCCACAGGAGATGAAGCAGCTCCTGTAAATTAGAGCAAAGCAGAGTTTCTGATTCTGACTTGAATGGCAACTATACCCAAGTAATACAAATATAAGACACAGGAATTCAAATAGATAGATTTCCATGAAGTCCAGAAGACTGAGAAGCTGAAGATGCAGGAATTTAGGATTAACACTGAGAGATCTATCCTGAAGAATTACATGCAGCAAACCAAAAGATACTAAAAATAAATATTACAATTAAAATAGCATTACTGTTGTATTTGAAATACATTAATATGCTAGAAAATGTGCACAGAATGCACCTCGCTTTTCATGTTTAAAATTAACATATCCTCTAAACTGAAGTAAAATGTCTGTATAAAACAGCTGTACAGACAAAATAATGCTCATGTTTTGTGCACATCCATTTCTAGTTCAGTAAAATACAAGATGTGACTTTAGACAAAGTGAACTATGTTTCTGTGGGTTTTCTGTTGGAGTAAAATTACTGAAATGTTTTTAAAATTACCATGCAATTTTTTAAAAAAACAAAGTGTTATTTCCTGCTAGGTGATTTAACCAGTTCATAAAGCTCTAATCTGAATTTAGGCAATGAAACGAGATGTCAGGGTCCCGGTTTCACATCACTAAGGAGTGAAACCACTCAGTGTGTCTGTCAAAGAGCTGAAGCCCATTATTTGTTTCATATTGAAAAAAAATTTTTAACTATATGATGTGAATATATATGTATTTATAATTGAAGATGAAGTACACATGGATAATTAAGCATTACTTCTTTCTTATGGTGCATGTTTTACTTTAAAATGATATTAAAATAGCATTTAGAATGCAAAGTTATGCATTTGAAACATAGAAAATATTACATATGCTACTGAAAGATGAACATCAGTGTCCTCCTTTTTTGCATCTATTTTGGGCACTGAATATGGATGGGATCCTGCAGGAAGACCAGATGTTGCCATAGCTGTAGCCATTTGATAGATGAACCAAATGCTTACACTTGAACAGCAGAGGAAATGGCAGAACAAAGCTAAACACTCCTGAAGAGAGAGCTTTGCTTTGGGATTCCCAGCACTGTGCACCAAGGGAGGAGTGCTACCTCTAATCACACCAGGAGCAGAACTAAAAAAGAGTAGGTTGTGGGCCTGTAGAACGAGGCACAGCCTAGTGGGGATCCAGCAAAATACTTCATGTGGTGGGCTGGCTCTCACTGCCAGCTAAGTCCACACCCACTTACCCACAGCCCACAGTGGGCTGGGAGAACAAATCTGACGAGCAAAAGCAAAAGCAGGACTGCCTGTTGGCAGAAGAGGCAGTTTAACAGAGAAAGCAAAGCCGGGGCATGAGCAAAGCAAAAGATGGAATTGATGTCTAGTCACTTCAGCCTCAATATGCACAACTGTGACTTGGAAAGACAAACACTCTGAATGTCCCTCTTCCTTCTCCTTTCCCTCCAAAGCTTCTATTGCCAAGCATGATGCCATATGCTATGGAATATCCCTCCAGTCAGCTGGGGTCAGCTCTCTTGTTTGTGAGTTCTCTCAAGTTCTTGTACATCCCCAGTCTACCTGCTTGGGACTGGGCAGGAGGGCAGAGTGGGAGGAAGAAGGGACTTTGACACTGGGCAAGTACAGTTCAGCAACAGCTAAAACATTCTGTGTTATCAGCACTTGAGCCCAAATTCAAAACAGCATCACATGGGCTGCTGTGAAGAAAACAACTGCATCCCAGATAGTCTCAGTAAAAGCAAGTATGTTAGAAGTAAGTAGAAATACCCAGTTCCAGTAGAATAGAGAGTTTTCTAAAAGTTAACCATCTGGATTTTCTTTTTATCTTTCTATCTGGCAAATATTGATGACCTCAAATAGCAGACCAGCCTTTTCCTCACTGATTTTCTAGGACCATTCACATGTGGTGGATTGACCTGCTTCCTCCAGCCACTGTCCCATTCTGCCTCCTCAACAAGATATGGAGAGTAAATAGGATGAAGAAGCTCATGGAACAACTTAAAGACAGGGAACAACATAAGGACACTTACCAATTACTTTTATAGCTATGGGAAAAAATAATCTCCAATTAAGATAGACTCAGATTGTGAGAAACAACACCTCCCCTCCTGCCTTTTTTTCATAGTCTCAGCTTTACTCCTGCCTCTTCCTTGTCCCTCTCCCACCCCCAGTAGCACAGAGGGGATGGGGAATGGGGGCCTGGGGTTAGTCGATACCAGTTCCTCTCTGCTGCTCCTTCCTTCTCATGCCTTTCCCATTCTTCAGTGTGGGCTCTCCATATGCCACAGCTCCTTCTGGGAATACCCACCTGCTCCACTGTGGTGTTCCCCAGAGGCTGTAGTGTGGATGACTGCTCTGTGTGGTTCTCTCCCAGGCTACAGGGAAGTACCTGCTCCCCTGGTTTCCTCCACAGACTGCAGGGGCATCTCTGTTGCAGTGTCTCCTCCCCTTGTTCTTCTCTGACCTTGATGTTCACAGGGCTGTTTCTGACACTTTTTCCCCTCAGTCCTGGCTGCACGTGCAGCTTTTTGCCCTCTTGGAACACGTTTTCCCAGGGACAGGAGGAGCATGGCTGAGCGGCCCTGCCACGCACTGCCTCCAGAGCTGGTAGTACCCAGCATGGGGCAGGCCCTGCTGCTCCCCACAGAGGCCGCCCCCAGCCACCAAAACTGTGCCACTGCCACACAACACACAATTCAATTTCAAGGAGACGAATATTGCCTCACTATTCAGTCCTAGAAGCTGTTTTGGGATAAATTTCCCTTAAATTCCCTTTATGCTTTCCTCTTCTCTTGCCTTGCCTTCTGAGGCATAACACTCACAATTAACTATCCAACTAAGTGAAGTAACCATCCAATGAGACCATTTTCCAGGATACATGTCACCATTTTCCCCCTCCTAATTACCTTATCTCCTTCCTCTCCTCCCTCTTCACATTCAGAATACTTGTGTACCTACGAATATTCAGAATATCCTGGTGCTTGGCTCACAAGCAGTCCATGCATACAGACTACCCCTTTCTGGTATGCGTGGCCCTCACTGGTAGGAAACTTTCTATTCATGTTTTCTGCTTTATAGAGAAATCATTTTCTTCATAATTAAATACGCTTCGCAGAAGACTTTATAAAGCTGTTAATATAAATGTGGCTACCTTAGTATTAAAATTCAACTCAAAAAAGTAACAGGTCTGACGACGTCAATTGTAAAACACAAATAATTATGAACATAGCATATTTGGACTACGTGAGTGAGCAGTCTGGAGGTTACCACAGAAGGAGTAACCCCTATTGTGTATTTGGCATGGCTAAGCAAAAAATCCTCATCAGAATTTCAAACATCCATCCCTCCTTATTGATCTTTCATTGTACATTCAAAGATTGTACATACATTATAGTCAATTCCACTTATACTAGAAAACCTTCTATTATTCTACCACTTCTCACACAATAATTAGTTATTACAAATAAACAGGAGATATTGTACCTAGTGAAGTCCTTTCAAATGCATGGATTCATGCAAAGGGAAAGGTAAGTAGTTTTTGACTTTACAGGTATTACTGTTAGTTGAACAAAAAGGAAGCCCTACAATAAACAACTGAGACACCAGTTAACAGAAAATAAAAAAATCTTTTTACAAAATATATGGACTGATACTGTTCAAATCAAATCATAACATGTGGCTTAGACTAATGTGCAACCTTTTAATATGTGGTTGTAGAAACTGCAGATTCAGGAATATGAAACATGCAAACTCTGCCAACAGAGAGTTTACCCCGTGGAATGTCTCGTTGCTGATAAGCAGAATTTTCACAAATCGTGTTTCCGATGTCACCACTGTGGCAGTCAGTTAAGGTAAGCAGTATCTGCATGTTCACTCACATAACCCTGCTTTTGAATATAAGTACAGATGGTAAAATTATTTCCAACTGTAGGATTATTCAGCCTGTAGGATGATGGGTTGACAGGGTGGTATCCCGAGTTCTCCTTTTCTTCTCTGCTCCTAACATCCGCACTGTGACATGGAATGAGTCCTCTAAATTTCTTATAGAAATTTCTTACCGAATTTCTTATAGAACTGGTCCATCCCAGAACCTTCCAAATTCTTCCCCATATTACTTCCTATGGACTGTTGCTGATCTTCAGGACAGCATGAAACAGAGGCAGTACACACAGGAATTCAGGTGTAATTTAAGATATCTGCAAAACACCAAATTTTCTCTTTCATTTTCCTCATTCATAAAGTGAATTATGATGGTTCTTTGCATTAGCAAATCAGTCTGTAGCCTTCATATAAAATGTAGAATTTATGCCCCTATCTGACTGCAAAGACCAACAATTTTGATATTAACACACTCTGGGTTATTTACACACATTTCCTTTACTTCATTTGGGAGAAGAATCCAAATATAAATCAAACACAAAGACTAAAGACTAAATTCTGCTGCTACTTTGTAGAAAAACTGAGGATTTGGACTTTAACAAGATGAAGAAAAATGGTCCAAAAGCCCAGAAGTTCTGTGGAACATTTCTATTTGAAACTTATTCTGTGCAACAACCAAATAAGTTTATGTTCTTTCTTAAATCACCAAGCATGACTCTTCTCCTTCATTTTGACTTTGAAATTGTATGGAAATTCACACGTAAAGATTTTAGATTTTTTTTTTTTGGGGGGGGGGGGGAGGAAAGGATAGAAAGGGAGATGTGTATGGTAATTTATTATATGTAAAAGCATAAAACAAATTTTCTTCCATTTGGCAGCTTGGGAAATTATGCATCTCTCCATGGAAAAATATATTGTAAACCCCATTTTAAGCAACTTTTCAAATCAAAAGGAAATTATGATGAAGGTTTTGGACACAAGCAGCATAAGGAATTATGGAATTCTAAGGATCAACTTAGTTCAATTAACAAAACTCAAGCTGAAGAAACAAATCCCATTAATAGCATACCTGTTGATCCTAAACCAATTACAGAAGTTGATAAAGGCTTGTACTCAGGTACTGATGGGGCTCATCCTGATATTTTGGATAATAATTTGAAAACCACAGAAAGAGGTAAATTAAAAATGACATGGCCTCCTTCAACAGATGATGCAACATCTAAGAAAACATTCTCTATTGAAGAATCAGCTAAAGTAAATAAGTCAAAGTGGCCCCCAGAAGGTATTGCTCAAGAAGATTCCAGTTTATATACAAATAAATCTCTGGGCAACAAAAAGGAATCTCAGAAAAATCCCACTGTGATGGAGCAAAATAAAAAAAACACCACAAATTCACAACAAAATCAACACTCATCCACTCTGTCTGAAAAACAGAGTACAAATACCGGTAAAGTAAGGAAAAATGAAGCAGGCAATAATGGAAAGGATGAGGAAGCTGGAACAGTGCAAGATATGGTGAATAAACTAGAAGCATCAGAGAAGAGGGAGCAAAGTGGAAAGGATATTAATAAGGGTGATAATGTAATTGTGGATAGCACTGGGAGGAAGCAAGAGAAACAAATTAATGAAACTGATAATTCAGAAGTTGTACAAGTCACTAACATTGATGATGTAACAGTACAAAAGAATCACAAAGAATGCAACTTGAACAACAACAATAATAATTATGCCACTTTCTCACATCGAAATATTTGTACACAGAAAACAACTCTCTCAGCTCTGTCTACCCCAAAGACAGCATTAAGCCATGCTATTTGCACTGAATCACAACATGCCTTTGCAAAGCTGGACAGTCAGCCTGGAAATGAAGAAATATATGAGATATATGAACCTCATGAGAGCTATTCTAGTGATACTGTACTTGCACAGGATGAACAGAAGTCAAAAGATGAAGATGCTGTTACTTGTAAGAGTCTTGCTCAATTCAATAACAATGCCACATGTCAGAAGTCTCGTACGAGCAACACGTTCAGTTTGAAGAAGGCAACTAATACAACACTGTCTGTGGATACTGAGTTGTTATGCACTGGAGAAGAATCAGAATATGACAAAAAAGACAAAAAGCTAAATACTATTTTATCTGACACTCTGAAGAAATCTCTTCTTAATAAAGACAACCTGGTTTTAAACTGTGGTCTAATAGACTCTGCAGATGTAAGTAAAAAATCCTGCAGTCCATATTCAAAAGAACATGGAAATTATGATACAGAACTGAATTATATTAACGCTTGTCAAGAAAGTGAAATAATCCAATTGGCAAAGACTGACACAAATACAAGCTTAGATTTACTGAGCTCAAGACATATGGCTGTTTCATCACTCCAAGGCAAGAAAGTCAAGTTCAAATGGCTCACTGCAAATGAAAAAATTAAAAAAATAGATTTTATGATGAAAATTAATAAAACATCCAAGTGGTCAGCTATGTCTGTCACTCATTACAAAGTATGTCATAAATAGGTATTTCTTCAGTCTACTTATCTTAGTCTTTCATGAAGAATTTAATATCCAGAGATTGTAATACCCAGACTTTATTCAGTTAGTTTATATTTAAGACAATGAAGATGTAGATTTTTTTTTCATCTGTAATTATAAAACACCCCTTGTTTTTCTATGTTTCTGAACATTGCAAAGAATATTTTATTACACTGTCCTGGAGAAACATAATCCATTTCAGTATTTATTATTTGTAACAACTTCAATGTGAAGCACTCAGTGTGCACAAAGGAAGAAAAATACTTTTATTGTTTTTTCCAATGTATTAGTACTCTAACTGAGCTGTTGCTCCATGAAATATTATGTACACTGGTTGTGTTAGCTCATGCTAGAAAATCTGGGGTTTGGTTGAGATTTTGGGGGATTAATCTTTTTTGTTTCTGTTTTTGCAGTATAATGTAATATTTAGCTTGAAATGGATCATTATTGAATAGTAACCACAGCTGGTTGGTGAATAGCACTGTTTTGTCATATTCCTAGAGCTGCTACTAAGTTATACTGAGTAACAGGGGAGAAGAAAGTGTGTAAATTTTAACAATGATAAAACTAAACATCCTAAATAGAACTGAACCAGGGTTTGGGGACACTGGGCAATGAAGGCTAGTGGTCGTTTCAGCAATTAATTCAAAGTCATTTTAGCTGAAGCAGCTCTCCAGTGTCACACTTAAACCTGTACAAACTTATGCAGATCTAGTAGTTTTTTCTTTAAAACCTATGCTTAGGTATTAACATTTGCTCACTTAACACTATTCCATCCTGTATGAACCAGCAACATATAATTTAACTGTTGACAATGCATAATAAAAAAGCACTTTACAAAAAATATTCTGTGATTTTTTTTAAAGATTAATTTATATATACTATTTTCCTTAAACAGTTTGTGAAATTCTTCATGCAATGACTAGTTTAAACCAAAGTGTCACAGAGAAAAGGAATCATAATCAAAATACATTTTTCAAAATAATTCCTGAAGGACTCAACAGAGACAGGCATTTGAAATAATTTACAGGAAATACAAGCTAATGTTAAAATATTTAAGAAAGCGTGCCTCAGACTTCTAGAACAAAACATTATCTGTACTACAACTCATTGCCCAAAGCAACAGGGTTGTGGGGAAGTGGGAAATCCACATGACTCCTCTACACCTACACAGAAACAACCATAAACTATATACACACATCAGAAAACCATGAATAGCATTTTTCCACAAGCATACTTCAATAGTATGTTGCTCCAAAGTATTCTCAGTAAATGCAGAAATAGGATGTTACCAGAAGAACAGCCTTTTGCACAAGACACTCCAATACCACTGTATTTGAGAACTTTATTTAAAAGCATTGGCCTACAGACGCTTTTGAACACCTTAGAATCATTTCAGCAAGATTTCTCTCTCTCTCTCATGCTCCCCCCATTTGAGTGTAATCATCATAATTTGTTTTTTAAAAGCCAAGAGATTACTACATAGCACTAAATGACTTTGCTCTCTTTTATGAGTAGATAACACAACTAAAAATAACATCGACAAAATTCCTGCTAAGACAACAGCAAAAAAAAAAACAAAAAAAAACCAGAAAATGCATGCCTGAAGAAAATAAAGGGAATTTGACTGGCATATTTGGACTTCTACATGAATTAAAACGTTAAATCTCCCCAATTTCTCAAAATTTCTTATTAGATAGAAGATTGGTTTCGGCTGTATTAGTTAAGGAAGAGGAATTATCTTGAAGGTGAAATGGTGTTGTTTATGTGCACATGTGTAGGTGTGATCCTATGCAAGTTAATGATTCAGGAAAAAGCTAACATGGCTGCAATATTTGTACATAAAGTAAAATCCTATGCCATTTGTCATCCTCCTGCATATTTTGATGAATTTAACCTTGTATATACTAAAATCTAGAGAAGTGACAGATGTCAATTATGATAATAAAATGCACACCAAGAAATCAGCACCTCTGGAACTATCCTTGGAAAATATGGACCTTTTAGCTTCCCCCAAACAAAATTGAAAATGAGTCCAATAAAAAGTGTGTTCCTTATGGCCAGCTAGATATGACTAAAACAAAGGCTTTGTTGAAATAGTATAAAAGAGCAAGACTAAACAGAAATTTTTACTCCCAGAGAGAATATTATGTAAAGTCAACTTACATAAATGACATACCATATGGGGTAAATCTCTTTGGAAATTCCATGACTGAAATTCTGTTAAGTATGGGACAGACACAGAAGTGCAGATCCTTCCTCTAGTGGATTCACCAGCTTTGCATTCTCCTCTCTTACTGAATGGCTTTTTTACTTCTGCCAGTAGTGAGGATGAATGTTTATTGCAGAATTATTTATTTGAAGCACAAGCCCTATTATATTGTTTGGGGATTCTTATACAAATCATAAAGATGACATGCTCTAAACATGTTCTAGAAAACTAACATCCATAGGTAATAAAATATTGTAGGAAAATGTAAATAACCTGAAAAAAAATTTAAGTAGAAGAGCTCTTCAAAACTTCAGCCAAAAGCTCAGTGCAGAAATAATCACAAATAAGGTTTGAACTCACTGAGTCTTAAACTCTTTTCTTTCCAAGGCAAAAGGATCAGAGATGTCACCCTGATGTATACACACATTGCCACTGCAGAAGTCAGACTGTGGAGAGAATGCATATAGCAGCTGAAAGTGAGATTAAGTGTGTAGAAAGTAGCAACCTTATATGTTTTCTGTAAATTAAATACTAAGTGAATAGATACTCCTTAGCTGCTAAAAAACCTCATACATTTTAGAGAACCCATACAGATTTACTGCAGCCAAGGAGCTGGTTATATTGGTTTAGCAAGAACTAGTGTCCACTAGAGTTGTATTTCTGTGAGAAGAGGTTGCTATTCCAGGTTTAAGTATGTTCAACTTATCCTCTAGGCTTTCTAAGTTTTGCTTCCTGAGTTGAAATAACCAGCCATCAGTCTGTAAAAGTCTCATTCTGTGAGAAGCTTGATGGCATCTGGGAAGAATTCTGGTACTGAACCTCCTATTCCCTCAGCAGGATAGCTTCATCTGGCTACTCCTAAGTTCCACCTCATGGACAGGATATTTACCCTAAGAAAGGACCTTGCAGTCACGGAGGGCAGAGCTGATCCATTTCCAGCTCAGCTGCAGCCAAGCACTGCTCACAGCAAAGCTGCACTGATGAGTAGCAGTAAAATGAAACTTTCCCACATTGTTATTTAGTACGGGAGACTTGCAGTCCGAGCAGTATATTTTCACTGTCTGTTATTGGCTAGTGAAGATGTTCTACTGCTTTTAGAACACAGCAGGGTTTGTGTATTCTTCAATACTGAAAAGCAGCAATTAGAGAGATTAAAGAGACTGATTTAATGGCTGGGCCAGCACTGAATTTTAGAGGGCTTCTAAATTTGCAGTCCATTTGCAACTTCATTCACATAACTGGCACAAAAACTTAGATTTACTTAAATTGCTTTAATAGTGTGGCATATCAACTAATTCTTTTGAAGCCTTTGTGGAGTCGGGCATCCTCAAAACAAAACTAGGAATGAGACCTAACACTTTGGCTGTACTGCTGAAGTGGACTCCCCCTAAGTGAAGGACTTGCTGAAGCAAAGGCTGGATTGCTTGGAAAAGTGTAAATACCTTGTCTGTCTTCTGTTAAGCACTTATCTCCTTCATACATACCAACAGGCAGACCTACACTAGTTATCTTAAATGACAGTGCTCAGGGTAGACAACTGATCTATGCTATGGATCTGCCTTGTTCGAACACTATGTCTTGAAATATCCCTCCCATAAATAATTATAGTTCAGGCCTTATTTCCAAAGTGCAGGATAATTATCAGAATTACTTATAAAAGATTTGGGTGGCTTCAGTCAAGTATACCTCCAACTGGTAGGTGTAATTGCAAAAACATTAACTACCCTGGGTACACTCACAAAAACAGGAAAACATGAAGACAAAAACATAGATTAAAGCCTTTGGCTCTTTGCATGCTTTCTTCCATTAAGAGGAACCGAAGTTAAATCCTTTGGGTAAATTTGATTGCCTTTCACAAACATTTCACCTTGTACGTGGGTTGTATTTGATGATTTTGACATGAAAAGCGTTTTTAAATGTTTCAAAGTGAGGATCTGCATTAAATTTGGCTTAGAAACATAATTAGACTGACCTTACTTTTGGGCTTTCTAAAACAGTAAATTACAATTCAGCCATGAAAGATCTGAATTTTTCTGTATAGCCCTTAAACAAAAAATTAAGGCAGCTCTGTAATGTACTACTTTGGGAAAAGAGGAAAAAAATTGCTGTTCCTCATTGCTCCCTCACCTCTCTTCTCCTAAAGTATGATATGAGAGAGAAAGAGTAAGGTCTTCTTAAATTCTTAAAAAGAATAAGGTTTATTAAAAATTAAATTTATTTTTAATCTGACTGTACATTGTAATTTTACTAAAAAGAGACATGAAAAATCTACTACACATTTCAGCAGGTGATTTGCAAAATCCCATAATCTGTTTAAATAACAAAAAACCTAGGAAAACCTCAGAGTTGCAACCCATTTTAACTTTTAGCTCTTGACACTGCAGCCATCACTATCAGAATCCATATAAAATTACTCTTAGACTGACGAAATGGTACCTGTAACAGATGCTGACAAGGAATAATGTCCTGTCACAACAAATACTTATGAAGGAGCCATTCCTTCCCCACAGAAACTGAATATTCCAAATCAAAAAGCAGGCTGGTTTTCCACTAAACCTTACTAGGGAAAAAAAATTGACCAAACACAAAATTTCTTGATCAAGAAGTCATCTCTCAACAAAAATAGAGATGAATTTTCAATAAATGAGATGAAATAGTTAAAATAAGGGGGAATGAAGGTGCAGCTGTACCATGATGGGATGGAACACTAAACAAAATACTTCAATATACTGCTTGGTAAATTAGATTGTCACCCTAATTGTAATACTGGCACACATATCATAATAAAAATAAAACCTAATATATTTGAAATATCCTCTTACCACTTATAATAAGCTTCCAGTTTCTCTCTGCAATCACAGTTAAGATCGCTACAGGACATTAGATGAAGAGGAAGAAATAGATAGCTATAAAGTCAGCTTGTGCAGATGGGCACAGAAAAAAATTCTGCAGTTCCAATCTTAAGAGCTTTTGTACAACTTTTCATAAAACAATATTAGAGTGGAAATAGCACATAAACAGTGTCATATGCTGTTCTAAACAGTGTTTAGAATCTCTTTATTGTCTTCTATAAACTGCTTTTGGTAGGACAGTACTGCTATACAGACTGGGTCTGGGTGGCCTTGGCTGAGAAAACCATTTTGCCAGCAGTGGTGTTTCTGTGCCCAGAGAGAAGGAAAGGAAAAGTTGCATTACCAGGCACTGGCAGCTGTCCATGCCAACAGCATGCCATAAAACACCAACTGCATCGACTCAGCTTCTGGGATCAGAATAGGAAGCCTAAACCTTTTCTTTTTTTCAAAATACAACATTAAGATGACACCAAGAATACTTTCTATGTTTCTGAAGGCATCATTAGATAAACATTTGGCTAATAATTTATGGCAAACTATATCTGAAAATACTAATATTACAAACTGACATACTGCAGAGTGCACCATTATCTTAATTTTTTACTTTTAGAGAAAGCATATGTGCACTCTAGGAAGGAAAGGAAAATGAGGGAAAAAATAGGGCTAATATACCTTATTTTTAAGTACCTGTAAAAACTCAGCTTTGTAAACTTCTTACAAATAGCTTCCAACCAATTAGGTGGGGTTTGGATTAAGTGTCCAGACATTTATGCTCTGTGACATTTCAAGACTACTGCAGCAA